GTGCCACGCAGGGGCTGGATTCTCACCTGGATTCTCCAGGTGGTGCCCACAAGCAGCATGCCCACCAACCAAGGACAGTAAGAACTCTGCAATGTTGGCATGGGGCGCAGGTGCGGTCACACTGAGTGGTCGATGGCAGGTGCTCGGGAAGCAGGAGGTGCTGCCTTGGCGGGGGGAGTTTTGCCCATGCAGGGAGTTACGTTTGTGCAGGTGTCCCCTTAGGGCATGTGTCTGCTTGAGGATTTGATGAGAATTTCCTAGAATTCTGGATATGTGGATGGTTTCTGACCATCTCTAGGTGACCTGGGGCCCTAGTGAGACCGCAGTTACACAGGTACCCCCTCCCATCCTTATCCTGTCGGAGACCCCAACTCTTCCAAGGTCTATAAGTCACTGAAAGGGAACCCACGGGCATTGCAGTCAGCTGACCTCTCTCTGCAGGAAACAGGGTATTCAGACCTGGAAGGGCGGTGACAGAAGAGCTCAGGAGGTGAGCCCGCCCCTTCCAATAGGGCACTAGTCCACAGACGAGGCCTTGCACCCTAGGCTGGAGGGACAGCTGGCTGTGGTTGCTGGCCTCATCACAGCAGGGGCTGCAGAGCCGGGATAGCCAGCGCAAGCTCAAAGAGCAGGCAGCACCTCTCCAGGGGTCCATCTGCAGAGGACACCTTGGGGGATGAGGGTAGAGTGTGCACTTGAAGCAGACACCTGGCTCTGGTCTGTGTCCACCCCCATCCCGGGCCATCCCGGTGTCCACCTAAGCCTAGCTGGAGTGGAAGGAGGGGTGGGAGGCTGCCAGCTCACGGCCCCACCCTGCACCTACCTGCAGCAGGTTGTGCTCAGGGCCCTGAGAGGAGTCCAGCTGGCTCTGCGGGATTCGGGGCCACAGGCTGTCAAAGGCCCGAATGGCTCCATCTACAGAGAGGTGACAGGGTGGGCTTGACTGGGGAGCCCTAGCACTGACTCCTTCCTGAGGGACAAACTGAGAGACCCCTGGCATCGAGGACTTCAGACACTTGTCTGCCATCTGCTCCTGCCCACAGGGCATTAGCCTAAATGCCCCTGGAATTCTTTGGCCTGTGATATCTGGAGGCAGCCATGAGTGGGTTCCGAGGTCAGGGAAATGGGTTTGCTAGCTAACCTCAAACAGCTTGTTTCCTCACCTCTAAAAATGGGCTCTTTCCGGCCAGGGGGCTTAGAAGGGGACAGTAAGCGGAGACCAGACTCCAGCACCTGCACCCCACAACCCCTTACCCAAGCAGCGGTTCTGAGTAAAGAGCCCCCGGAAGGCTTCGCACTCCTCGCGCCGGTTCCCGCTGGCTCCGCAGTCACACCAGAGCGCCACGCGTGCGCTTGCGTTGTCCACGTAGTTGG